CATCCACAGACCCTGGACCGGGATTGGCAGATGCAGCTGAGGCTCAATGTCCCCACAATACCTTGGCACTATACTGCCCCTACAACACACACGCAAGTCCAAGGAAATGGGTCTACCTTTTAGCACCTTGGCAAAATGAGACAGCAAGGTAAAGGTGCCATAAAATGATTTTTCTCCATACCTAAATCAAAGAACTGGGCTTTCTTTCCAGTAAAACAAGCTAACATTTATAGCAAGCACTTAGTCTGTGCCAGAAGTTGTTAAGTGTATTTCCCTCATTCAAATCCTCTCGCTCCTATGAAAAAAGCACTAGAAGCCAATTGTTATGCAAGTAATATGGAAAAGAACTTAAATGTGGTTCTGAGAGATATCTTAGAACAGGCACTCATCCTGTCAGTGGAACCCAGCTTGGGACTGGTTCTCTTTTTGGCGGGGTGGGGAGCATGACATCTCCTCGGACCCCACCATGCATGGTTCTATGAGTGGCTCAGGCTGGCCACAAAGAGCAGAGGCTGCTCCCCTGCAGCTCAGACTCGGCACGGATGGCCTCTGTGATGCAGACAGAGCTCACTGCACATGGAGCATGCAGGGAGTGTAAGACCTGCTCCTAAACAAACGATGTATTCCATTGTTCTCAGTCACAAAACCATCTGACCGAATCTTATGTAAAAAGCACCAGAGTGGGAATATGGAATGTTAGGGAAACAAAACTGCCCATACCCTTCCTACAGAAAAGGGAGGGAAAAATCCACTCAGGAACAAGGAAGAAATGATGCACAGTCCTACTAAGGGAAGTGAGGCTTTTCTCCCTACCTCCACGCAAGTCCACCTCATCATGGCCTTTAAAGATTTCTGTGAGCTGGGCTTCTGTTTGCCATCATCAGAATAGTAGGCTGGCAACAGAAAGAACTTATTTCATGAAAGGAATCTAAATGTACTGATTTAATTGCTTTTTTGTTTCACAGAATCCTAAGGACCTTATGTTCAGTAGCTTCATTATTATGAGGTTGAGCGGGAAGGCTTCTCCAACCTATAGACAGAGATCTACCAGGCTTGGGAGGTCTCAATGAGACAGCAACAAAACCTAAGGCTGTGTTGTTCCCAGCACAGGTCCCACTGCCCTCAGCTCCTAGAAGAGCCCTTGTCCCATAGTGGCTTATCTCAGACACACTAGAACTAAGAGGGCCTCTTCCCTCATCACAGAGCTCTCACTCCAGGCCTTGCAGCAAATGTACAACTGCTAATAACAGTAACCAAGGGGAAAAGCCAAGTGAAGGACAGTGGATGTGGCAGCTTGGGTGGGCCTTATGCCAATATCTATGCTTATGTCCAGAAATGTCATTCTTATAGCCTGTGCTCCCAGGATGAACAAATCCTGAGCAACACATGAGGTAAATTCTCCCCCCATAGCTCAGCCAACACCAGGTATCTGGAAGAGCACCTTCAGAGCAAAATGAACATATTTAGTTGTCTACCAGAAAATTTAACCAACTTGCTGCTTGTCCTTCTAGTAGAATCCCAGGTAATTGGCAAACACACTAACACTTCCATGATAAATTATGACTCCCTTTGAACCGCAGCAGTATTCCCAAAGTTGCTTTAGAGTTGAGGTGGTGGATGGAGGGGTGGGGAGGAAGGCAGGGCAGATTATGGAGAAAAAGAAAGAATTCCTACAGCTACAAGGCTGGCAGTCTCCCACTGAAGATCCTACTACCATATTCCTTGACTAGAAGAAACTTAAAACCTCGGGGCAGATGGAACCTTGGCCTGGGATCCAATGCCCATTGCCTAAGGCCCAAGAAACCCCTGGGAGGTAGGTGTCTTGAAGACCCACAAATGAAAAAGCAGGCACACCCTATGGCTTTACAATTTCAAGTGGTCTCCATTCTGACAAGAGGACAAACCCAGGTCCAAGCTGCCCACTGAAGGGAGACACAGGAGCACAGGAGGCCACAGGCACCAGGAGACCCTCTGGCCAGTCAGATATGAGGAGGCATAAAAGCTGGGTGAGAAGAAAGATGCCACCAATCTAGGACAGGTAGCTGCAAGGCAGTAACGAACCTGGGAAGGGCCCCAGGGAAAGTACCTCTCCTTCAGCTCTGTCCCTTGAGGATGGAAGTGGCAGTTGGACTTAAATCCTTCCCCACTTGCTCTTTCCTCAGCCTCCTCCACCTCGCTAATGTGATGACTCTACTCCTCTTGGAATCACAGTAGGCCTTACTCATACCTCACATGGACTCCACTGGTGAATCATGTAGTGTCTATCTTTAAAATCTACAGGGGAGAATTCAACCTCCACACATATCTACCACATCTACCCCATTCTAAGTTGCCCTCGTCTCTCACCAAAATTACTTATGGTCACTCTCCACTGTGTAGAAAGCCTGGACTAAGGTTTTATTCCAGAATTAGTTACAGGACTTTAAACTGTCTCCCTACTTCCATGTCTGCCCCTCCCCCTCATCTCTTCTCTGCACAGGGCTGGAAGTCATCATGAGAGCCTTCGATGGTTCCCTACATTCACTAAAAGTAAAAGCAAAGCCTCATGGCCTAAGGCACCCACAGTGGTAAGAGGGCCCTCAAGCCTGAAGAGGCCAATCACACAGGAAAACATTAAGGTCCCAAAGCAGGTCCCTCTTGGCATGAGGACCAAGAGCCAGGCAGAATGATGGACATCTCTGAAAGTGTCTCTGGCCCAGACAACTCCATGGTTAGAGGAAAATAGTTCTCTCCGTAACAAAAATACAGTTATGCCTGTTCCAAATCTCTATCTTGAATTAATAAACCAATACCTCTGAATATATAGTTAGTATTGAAAAGGGACTGGACACCTTTCAACGGTCCAATACGGAGTCACTTGTCAGCCATGATAGTTATGTCAAGTAGCAATATGCTCAAGACTGAGGTAATGGGGTATAACAGAAACAACTTTTGGAGTAACCAAAAGCACAAGAGTGGGCACTTGGATAAGGACTCTGCATGGACACTGACTGATATGAGTGGGACCACCACCCACTGTGGTCTACTAAGAACTTAGAGCTCTGACCATCCCCAACTTGAACTTGGCTATGCCACCAGCCATGCTTGGAGCCCAACAGGACTCCAGTCCCACCAGACACGTGCTACCACTGTAGCTGCCTGGCTTGAGATGCCTGCCCACCTCTCCATCCCTAGAGGCTGCCAGTAATCTACACTTCGAGCTCTACTGCTGTAAGGTCCCTCCTTCTGTGTGTACCCTGTGTGTAACCCCACTGGCTCATTGGGGAGGTCTCCCCTATTAGACCTGGCTTCATGGAAAGACACAAATGTGTGTGAGTGACTCCCTTCTGGTATGCTCCCTTGCTCACAGCAGGGATCAATTCAGTTAGACATCATGCTGGGCCCTCCAACACTGATACATATTTTTACAGGCCTTAGTAGAAAGAAACTAGACTAGAAAAATCAATAAAACATGTATTTAGTCCCATTAAGGAATGGAAAACACTATTGAATAATTAGAATTCAAGCTGCCATGGTTAGCAATCTTGTCCTTCAAGCCTTTTATTTCCTCCTCTGAAGCAAATAATTTTAATACCTAGGAGTACCCTTGAGGCTCAAATCCAGATTCAAACAAATGAGTACATTTCTGATCTCTATGAAGTCTTGTCCTGTTTATTTGGTCAAGCTCCTTTGACATCTTTTAAAATTTATGTATCACAATTAAACATAATCTGCATATGCTGAACATTTTAAAACTATTTTAATCCATTGTTGACTTTATCTCCTAAATTTCTGTTCTGATCGTGTGACTTAAATAAGGACTTTTGTTTTAAATACCTAAGGGTCTATTCATGTAAAAAATAATAATTTCCCTTGAGACCAACTTAAAAATCAGGGGCATAACTGTACCATGATTTCCTATGATCCGAACCAAACACGAAAGACAAATCTTAAGGCAAGTCATGAATAAACTGTAATTCATATTAAACACAATTAGGAATTCAGCCAAAGGCCAACATACGCACTACTACTGGTTAAATTTTTAATAGCACATTTTAGGGACATACACCTGGGGCTGAAACCTCAGTCCTTGCCTCTTGTAACTAAAAGCAGAATAAATCCAACTCCAGGTTACTCCTGTCCTACTCATACTAGTCAAACGCTACTCCAAGCTGTTGCCACATCCACAGAAAAAGGTAAAATACTAGAAGAACGCCGCAAAAGTACCAAAGTACAATTGCTCTGCATATACACGGGTTCTGGAAAGACTGCCTTACCTGCCAGCCTAAGAAAGTCCTGAGAAGATTTGGTCGCTATAATGACAGAAAAAATTCCTCCCGCTCCATGCTTGAAGAACTCGGCCTTTTCAGGCCAAGCCGGGTCCCAAGAAAGCCCACCCAGGCGACACTTCAAAGAAGAAATGCCCTGGGGCCCTAGGTAAAGGGTGTAGACAAGCCAGGATGCGTCCGGGGATCCCGGGGAGAAGGGAGGTGGGCACTGCGGCCGGTGTGCTGGGGAGCGCAGCACTATCCCCAGCTGGCCACCTGCCGTGGGACCACTCTCCAGGACACCGGGCAGGCTGGTGACCCGCAGCGGACAATACAACTTAGACCTCGTGGCGGGTGCGGTTCTGTGCCCCGGGCCATGTAGGGGAAGTTCGCTGGTACTCCAGTCGACAAGTGCCTGCTCCCCGCCCCCTACCCATAGACCACCGGAAAGGGTCGCGGTGCCCAGTGAGTCGGCGGTCTGGCCCCGCGGTACCAGGTGGCCCACGCTAGCTCACTCAGTGTTGCATCATGCACCACGGCCTTGTGAAATAAAAATGGACTCCGATGGCGGGGAAGCTGCTTGAGCGCTAACCGCGGATCGCCGGGCCACCCTTCCCTCGCCACCCGGAGTATGTCAGCACCGCCGCGTGGAGACCCGCGCCGCCCTCCCACGGCCCCACGAGGTCCCCGGGGTTCTCTCCAAGGTGACCCGGTCCCAGGAGCTGCCCTGGCGTGGCAGGGCCAGGCACTCACAGAGTTGGCGGGCGGCTGGATGAAGGCAGGACCGTGGCTGGAGGGACTGAGGCGCGGAAGGAAGCGCGCGGGGAGCTGGAGTAGGACTGCCCTTAACGGATGCCCGTGGCTCCGCCCGCGCGTGTACCGCTTACACCTGCCTGCGCCGACAGAATAGAGTGGCGGGAGCGGGATCTGCGCCTGGTTTCATCAGCCGCGCACCCGCCCCGGGGCTTGTTAGGGCATCGCGTCACAACGGTGCACCAATGGGAGCGCACGGCAGTGGCATCAACCGCGCGACTGCACGCTCCCACGTGGGATTTCCGGGCCGAGTGTTGCTATTTTTCCGCCTGTGGAGCCGATACCGATTTTCCTTTTCCAAAAGTAAAGGGTCTGGGAAGAGCTTCAATGACTTTTAAAAAATTATTATACATCTTCGTTTCTTTCTTTTTATCGCTATGCCCTTACTTTTTATAGATAACATCCTGGCCTGTTGTCAGGAAAGTTCCCAAAGCCTCCCACTGTCTTTTTTTGCCCCAGGTAGGCAGAACTAGCACACCTAGCCAAAGGGCTAGTTAAGCGGCTTTCTTCCAGTCACTATACCAAAGATGGCAGATATTTGAACACCAATCCCATGCTACTCAACTGACTGGCCACCTATTTGTTGTCTCTCTTCACTCCAAAAAAACAAGCAAGGACCATAATCTAAAGAGATCCAGTAATCTGTGACACAAGAGATGAGTTGTTCTGATTCATCCTGCCAGCCTCCTGACTTTGTAGGAAAACTGAAAACCTATACGTCAGTGTCCATGGCCTTTAAATCCTTTCCACATCTCCTACCTGTTCAAATCCTTGGTCAGTAATGGGAATGCATCGTCAACCATGGCACATGATATACCCTCCTGTAATTACACTGGCAATTTATACAACACATAAATCCACATGCTAGCTTGGGAAAAGGTTATAATGAAACAAAAGAAGGGGCTAATATTTATAAAGCACATTGACTGTGTCTAGCATTGTAATAAGCAACTATATATGCCTTGTTTTAAAACAACATATTCTAGTTTCAATTGTACAGTGGTGAAATGATGCTCCCAAATTGCACTGAGAAGGCCTACCTTGCTGGGGCTTTTCCTGAGTTCCACACAGCTTCCCTCACCTGCAGCACTACCATCAAAGGATGTCCCCTTCTCATTCAACTCAAGGACCAGCTGCTTTACCTTTGGCACCAGATCTATATATGAATCTGAACTCTATCACCTCATCACTGTGTGGTCTTCTACAAGCTATTCTGCCTGTGCTTGGAGCTCAAAAACCTCATATGAACTTACATTTTTAATTATATTTTATTGATTAGGCTATTACCGTTGTCTCAATTTTTCCCCCTTTGCTCCTCTCCACTCAGCACTGCGCACTCCCTCAGGCAGTCCCCCCACCATGGTTCATGTCCAGGGGTCATGTGTATACGTTCTTTGGCTACTCCATTTCCTTTACTGTACTTTACATCCTCATGTCTATTCTGTAACTACCTATTTGTACTTCTTAATCCCCTCACCTCTTTGCCCATTCCCCATACTCCCTCCCATCTGTCAACCATCAAAATGCTCTCCATATCCATGATTCTATCTCTGTTCTTCTTATTTGCTTAGTTTGTTTTTTTAGATTCAATTGTTGATAGATATGTGTTTATTGCCATTTTATTGTTCATAGTTTTGATCTTCTTCCTTTTCTTAAATAACTCCCTTTAACATTTAATATAATAAAGGTCTGGTGATGATGAACCCCTTTAGTTTTTTTCTTGCCTGGGAAAATCGTCATCTGCCCTTCAATTTCTAAATGATATCTTTGCTGGGTAGAGTAGTCTTGGCCGTAGGTCTCTGCTTTTTGTGACTTTGAGTATTTCTTGCCAGTCCCTTCTAGCTTGCAAAGTTTCTTTTGAGAAATCAGCTGACAGTCTTATAGGGATGCCCCTACAAGTAACTAACTCCTTTTCTCTTGCTCCTTTTAAGATTCTCTCTTCATCTTTAACTTTTGGCACTTGAATTATGGTGTGTCTTGGAGTAGGCTTCTTTGCATCTATCTTGTTTGGGACTTTCTGTGTTTCCTGAACTTGTATGTCTCTTTCCGTTCATTATTTTTTCAAACAGATTTCCAATTTTTTACTCTTTCTCCTCTTCTTCTGGCACATCTATGATGTGGACATTGGAATGCTTGAAGTTCTCCCAGAGGCTGCTTACACTTTACTCATTTTTTGGGGGGGGGGATTCTCTTTCTTCTTATTTTTTTGGTTGTTTTTTGCTTCCTTATGTTCCAAATCATTGATTTGATTCTCTGCTTTATCCACAGTCAGTCATTGCAGCTGACTGGCCTGGGTAAATCCCTCCCACTGACCTTCCAACAACAATCAAGGCTCAGCTGCAAGAGGAGGGTGTACTCAGTTCACATGAAGGGTACCCAGCTTGGGTAATAGAGGAGGCTGTGCCACTGGACCCTATAGGACACCTATTACATTAAGCCATGTTACTAAGACAAGGAGTCATAGCAACTCTACTTAATACATAGAAACAAACACAGGGAGGCTACCAAAATGAGGAGACAAAGAAGCATGGCCTAAATGAAAAAACAGATCAAAACCCCAGAAAAGGAACTAAACAAAATGGAGATAAGTAATCTACTAGATGCAGAGTTCAATACACTGCTTATAAGGATGCCCAAGGAACTTAGTGAGGACCTCAGCAGCATAAAAAAGACCCAGTCAGAAATAAAGGATACACTAACTGAAATAAAGAACAATTTACAGGGAAACAACAGTAGAGTGGAAGAAACCATGTATATTTTTATCAAAAGGCTGTCTTTTAGTGTTTGAGATATTACTGTGGAGTTAAAAAAAATACTCTTGGCGATAATTTAGTAGATTGTAGAGTTGCCCTGTTTAAGCAACACAGAAAAGAAACATAAAGTTAATATTCGTAAATTCTGAGAGCATTTTCTGGGCCCTAATGGGAATATGAGTGGAATTTAAACAAGGGGATTTTTAATACTGTGCTCAGATTAGCAATCCCACCAAGCAGGTTTCATCTTCAGAAAGACAATAGGAGACCCTCAATGACAAGGCCCATAAGCAAGCCACTTTCCATCAAAAAGAACTCAGTGTGAACTAAGAAAAAATAATTGTGTTTAAGGCTCTGCAAAAAACTAGAAAAAAAGATGAAAAAATTAGTTGAATACTTTAAGTAAAGCTAAATTCTAGCTGGGTTAGGATTCACATTGCTGGTCTAGAGTTAGAGGCAACGTTGATTAGAATCAAGGGACAATTGAGCCAAGATTCCAAAGAAGATTAAGGAATGGAGGTGCTAGAATTTAAGCCCCAGAGAGCACCATCTAAGGTTCAGGTTGACAGACAAAGTACCAGACCAGCACAATAGGTAGCATGGGTGTATAGAAAGTGCACAGAATCAGCCATACAGATGTGGTTTAAACTCTATGTTTTCTGCCAGCTGCTGGCCTAGGGAAATTGTGCTTGTCATCTCTTAGACTCAGCTAGAAAGAATTTTACTACCTGCTGGATAGGTATAAACTTCCTGGTGAGAATGATTCTTAGGGTATAATCTCAGCAGTGGAATGTCTGGGTCAAAAGGCAGTTCCATTTTTAGTTTTTTGAGGAAATTCCACACTGTTTTCCGCAGTTGCTGCACCAGTCTGCATTCCCACCAACAGTGTACTAGGTTTCCCTTTTCTCCACAGCACCTGTTGTTTGTTGATTTATTTATGATGGCCATTCTGACCAGTGTGAAGTGGTAACTCATTGTGGTTTTAATTTGCATTTCTCTGATAGCTAGTGATGCTGAGAATCCTTTCATGTGTGTCTGGGCCCTGTTTATGTCCTCCTTGGAGAAGTGTCTGTCCAGGTCTTTGCCCATTTTTTAATTGGATTGTTCATGCCCCTGGAGTAGAGTTGTGTGAGTTCTTTATATATTTTGGAGATCAACCCCTGCCTGAGGTATCATTGGCAAATCCCAAGACACCAGTTCAGAACAACCTATGGACCCCAATGTTCATAGCAGCATAATTTACAATAGCCAAGTGCTGGAAGTAACCTAAATGCCTATCAAGAAATGAGTGGATCAAAAAACTATGGTACATTTACACAATGGAATACTGCAGAGCAGAAAGGAAGAAAGAGCTACTACCCTTCAAAACAGCATGGATGGAACTGGAGAGCATTATGCTAAGTGAAATAATCGAGGGGTTCAAAGGCAATTACCATATGATCTCACCTTTAAGTGAAACTTAATCAACAAAACAAACAAGGAAGGAAAATATAACCAGCAACATTGAAAGAAAAAACAAACTGACAGTAACGAGAGGGAAGGTCGGAGAGGGGTAAAAGGGAAAGGAAGAGGAAGGGTCAAATCAAGGAACATGTATAAAAGACCCATGGACAAAGCCAAAGTGGGGAAAAATTGAGGGTGGGAGGTGAGGGTGTGTGGGGCAGGGGAAAGTGGAGACAAATATACTTTAACAAAAAAAAAATTTCTTTTAAACTTCATAGTGAGGAGAGAATATGGCAGAGGAGTGAGTGGAAGTCACACTGACCTCCTCCCAGGATCAAACTGGAATTGCAACTAAATTGTGGAGAAATCACCTGGAAAACAATGGGATGATAGAGAGGAGCCCTGGAGCCTCATATAGACAGTGGAATTGGCTTTTGCACAACTTAATGGGTGAAAAGTGCAGTGGAGGCTTGAGAGGGTGGGCTGGGCACCCACAGGCATCAGCGCCAGAGGGATATTGAAATGGCCAGTAGGATCACCCTAAGAACAGGGTCTGAATCATAAGCAGCGACCTATAACCTACAGCATCAGAACCCAAAAAAGCACACAGGCAAAAGACAGCTGCAAAAAGCGTAGTGGTGCTCTCTGCCAGAGACAGGCAGCTGGAGATGCAGAAATGTTTAAAGGGCCAAAACAAAAATTTGCAGTGGCAGTCACCTTCCTTGGTCTCTGGGCAGAGTCAGGAGCAGAATGGGCTGGAGCCACCTGAGGAGAGATTGCTGAGGAAAGCTTTGGGGAGGGAACTGAAACAGAGGCCAGCGGAGCCGCACTGATGACTGACCTCCCACTCCACAGCTTCCATCTTGCTCAGGCAGACCAT